TTTCGCAGAGTGATCGATCAGAGGGTTTGAACCGTAGGGGGAGGGGAGGGGTAGTAAGTCTCTTGAAACTACACCACCAAAAAAATATGATCTCACTAGAACCTGGAATGAAAAGTTCAAGAAATTCTTTATTCATGCAGAGCTGTAGAGACTACCAACCTGAACCGAACTGATAATAATTCTCTTTAATAGCATAAAATGTATTTCCATTTTTGAAATGCTAATCTCTTTTCGATAACCAGGTTAAAGACATATTCCACAAGAAGAATGATAAGCGTCAGAAGTTTTTATCCATCAGCTGCATAACTAAACTGGAATTGATCAGAAGTCAAAGGGGCTTGCAGCATACAGCAGAATACATCCAAAAAGTGCACTCACAATGTTTTCCTTGAGACTTTTGGTGAGCTGTTTTTTCAGGATCGAGAGTTAAATCTCATGGGAATGAAGTTTGCAAGCCTCACAGAGGAGGCGACTCTCAGTTGCCATCATTGCCTTGTTTTCATCTTTCGTACTAATTTTCGAAGGCTACGAGCTCTATCCCAACGTCTCTTTTGAAAGCATTTTCTAGTCGTTAAGGTGATTAGAAAGGTATCGCACTATATATGTAAGGGTGGGACCTCCTGGAAGTTGCCTATTCAGCCTACGTGCTTAATAGTGATCCTCTGGTGAGAAATATCTATCTTCATGATATGTATGTAGCGCATGGCTTCCAATCATTGCCCATGAATCATCGAGTCTTCAGTTACAGCCCTTCTCCTGGAGATTAGGTGATCCATCTTTTGGCATAGTTCCTTTCTTGTGGGTTGTCTACTTTTCCTTGTAACTCGCCGTCGTTACTTCAGTTTCGACGAGTAAGTGTTCTCGCCTTTTCAGCTAATATTGCCCACATTGCATTTCTCATGTTCCTACTACTGGAAGCTCTTCGCTGCGGTTCGAGTGTCATTTGGGTGCCTTTTGGAAGATGTGGTAATGTTTTTTTGATGGAGGGTGCTCATCAAGGACCAAAACAGCATAGGCCATGGAAAAGTGTGGCATGGGAGAGGGATCAACTTTGAGTGCCTCCTATTTAGGAGCCAATGGCGAGAGGCTTGATCCGAATAAGACCGTACATCTTGATCTTGGCCCCGTCACATATTTCGGGCTCGTTTTACTCAGCGCAAGGATTTACTGACACTCAAATGTGGTTACACTGATGTTGTTCTCATATTTCAAAGCAACCTATCTCCTGTGATGTCTTGACGTGAAATCTTAACCTCCCCATCGATTCACTCCCACGCTTGCATACGTACCTGTTGTTGTTTTTCGATTTCATTAATTTAGACTTGGAGTTGTTCAGGTTCAGGGCTCATGATCACCCAAACTGATGCTCCTAGCAAGGCTGAGATTACATCGCCTTCACGGATTGGCTTTTGTTACGTGTGGAATACGAAGGTAAACGTCATTGCTGTATCCGATACATTACTAGTTATTCTGCGAACATTTTCACTTTCTTTCGAATCTAGTTGAAGAGGTCAAGACAAGCACATTCGGTCCAAACTCTCTACTTCGTTTTTTTGTTCTTTTGAACTCCGTTTATACTTCGAGGCTAGTGATCGCAACTGAAATGTACAACTCCCAACCCACGAATTTCTCAAGAACAATCACAATTTTCTCAATCCAAACCTAATTCTGTCTAGCAGCAGAAATCAATGGGTTAGCCTTTTCGGAAAATTCGATAACGAGGAACACTTCAGGCAACTTCGTAAGCCTTAGCTCTATGGATGCCCCTGTTAACAATAGCCTGCTTTGTTTGGAAAACTAGTATCTTCCCCTCTAATTCTCGATCGCATATTCGTTTGAGAAGCTAGAAGAGCTCTCGTAAAAATTGAATTTTCACATACCCTTTGGTGGGACTGTACCCTGAATCAGGAATGCTTTGCATACAAACCTTAGCTCTGTGGGTCCCCCCCCCCATGTGACCAATTGCTTGCTTTTTTTGGAAAACCAGTATATTCCCCTCTATTTCTTGATCACATATTTGTTTAAGAAGCTAGAAAAGCTCTCGTAAAAATTGAATTTTCACATACCCTTTGGTGGCCAGTACCCTGAATCAGGAATGCTTTGCACCCAAAGGGCAGCAATCAAATACGCTGGCCCCCGAATAACCTCAGAAAATGCCCAAAGTGCAGGGAGTTGCCCTAATGAAGATCGATGTCCGATGGCTCTGGCAGATACAAAAATGCAGACAAATAAGCCTCTTATGCCATTTGGATGCCCCTTGTGGGTTTAGGTTTTGTTTTTTTTCCTCAGGGAGGATGCTCATCAAGGGCCAAGACAGCATAGACGTGGCTCTAACCATTTTCCATTTTATTTTCACGTGACATCACGGAAAGAAAATGCTTTGACGGTTAGGAACCGCCTGAAGTATGCACAAAGGCATACCTATATAAATAAATGAAACATTTACATACAGCCGGTTTTCTACTTTTTTTAATTTTTGTATTCTCGCGTGCAAACTCTAAAAAAGTGGTTCGTTCCTCTTTTGGGCAGAGTAGCGTAGTTATGCGTACTCATGAACTTCTGAACTATGCATTTAAGAAATCCTTTATAAAAACAGAATCTCAACAGGAAAAAAAGTTTTGAAAAAATTAAACTCTAAAAGTCTAAAAGAAGACTTTCACGTGATTGAAAACATTTCGTAGAACCAACACGCTTACAGAATTTAAACCGATTTCAGAAATTCGAAACGCCTTGCCCAACACAAGTCGAACATTATTCAAAGAAGGTTTTGGTTTGTGTAAAACAAAAAGGCCCTCAAAATAAAAAGCAACGGCTGTGGAGTAGAAAGAAGACGCGCTATCATCGCACACGCGTTCGCGGATCGAATTTCGGGGGTGTGGTGCAGTAGGAAGGAAATCGTCGCGTCGCGGCAATAGAGACGCCGCCCGCGAAGGAATGAGGCAGAATGCAGCAGCAAGTAAAAAATAGAGGAACAAAAGAACTAACCGTAGAATCACGCCAAAAGTAATAATCGCATAGCGATCGAGCTGTATGAAGAACGCTAGAGCCGTAATAATGGCGAAACGAAGTTCGCGACAGCCGCGTGCGGCGAATCGATTACACAAAACCGTTCCTACTGCCCGTCTCCCGAATTTCGGCCATCAGGCTGCGTACTTTTCGAGGGTAGATATCCATGTTTCAGAATTCATAAACAGGAAGCCAAGGAAAGTTCCAACAGACTTAAATTTTAGTAAACTAGGCTCTATATGCTATGTAATCCCGATGGGATTGTGATCTCCAACAGAGATGAAACATATGGCGTATGATCTTTTTCAGATTGCTTCACTAACTTAGTTTTCATTTACAGCTAACAATGATTCGCTGACCTTTGAAACGAAGGAAATCATTCATACATTGGCACATATTAGTTCTTGAAAACACAGTTCACGATAATTTTAGGGTACCTAGTTCTGAAATGTAATGGAAATGATAGTCTAGAGTAGTTCAAAAATGGCGAAGAAAACGCGAAAATTGGCGTATTCACAGGAATAAAAAGCCTTAGAAAAGAAGGAAAACTAGGGTCGGGGAAGATATTGGGTCAAAAGTTGCATGGTAAGAGTATTTGGACGAGCTCTACCATTGCTGTACCGGTTTGGTATCGTTATTACGCCCTATCTTCTCCGTTACCCTTGCGCTATCCTTGGGGCCACAGGTTCATCCTAGGGAGCAACCTCAGGAACCATTTTCGTGATCTTGTTCTTTTACATACTCTTCGAAGGACAGTTCGAGTATAACCCGATATCAACTGTGGTTTTACAAAGAGACATGACAGAATAAACCGAAGCTGGCTTCGGTATCCGTCCTAGACTGTACATACATACATCCCTCTACCATCCCCTCACTCCACTATACCTCCTCGGGAAGGATTCTAAGGACGGGTCATCAGTTTCCCATTTTGCCCTTTAACGACCTGTTTTGTTTGATGTTTCAAAATTTAAGATCTCGATGCGAGCTGTTTCGGACGACGACGCTGTTATTCTGATCGTCTCACCAAAGTTCGCTACAGTACACGATCACGTTTCCTTTCAATGGAGTCTGAAAATTCATGGCACAACGGGAAGGGTGAGCACTTTTTCGGTTCATCATACGGACTCATCAAAAAACGGCCTAAGAACAATGTGGCGTGCGGACGCCACACAAGAGACATGCTAAGGTCAGGTCCTCATCAACTGATTCAGAGGGGAAGAGCCCATTGAAAGTGCCCGAAACTATTTAAACAATTCAAAGGAACTTTTTCCCTCAGACGAATCTCAACGCACGATTCACTATCAATTGAGGTGGCTATTTTAAGATGAAGAACGAAATCAATGGCGCAGAATAATACAGAGATAAAGGAATTTGAAGTTTTATGTGAATAGATAAAATCAAGGGGTGATGTAAGAGTTAATGACAACGGAAGTGATGGGGAAGGGGTACTTGGACGGGGTTCCTCCTGTCGCGTGGTACAGCCCAACGATCATGCTACAGTAAGCAAAAAAAATTGGTATCTCAGCCGTTCTTCACCTCAAGTGACCCATGCGCTTTGCTTGAAAGCCTCAGATTTATTCTGGAGAATACTTTCAAAAAACGGCTTCTTCATGAACTATGCTTTTACTAGTTATCATATTTTCGCACATACTACTCACCTGGGGATCATCCTTCATCTTACTCGTAGTACTAGTAAGTACTAGACTTATCTTACCCAGGATTAACATTCGCTTCCTCGCGATCGTTCGGCACCATTCTGTAGAGTATGCTGTAGTAAAAAAAAACCACGAATGTTCTCTTGTTGGCCCGCCACTCAAACCGTCCATGAGTGGGCGGAGCTGATATTGGCTGCTGTCTAATATCAAGCGATTATCGAAAAGATATCTCCGCTCTTGGTAATAGCGGATATGAAAAGTTATACATGTTGTAGTTCAATGGATCAGATGACGATTTGGTCGAGGAGGATGATCCGCCGTCTGATTACGTCGCCGTAGAGCTCTACTTTGTTGATGGTCCAGTTAGTCAGGTGAGAAGTTACCATCAGACCTTGCACAGAAGCAACACAATACCTTGGAAGTCGGAAATTTTAGACCTTCACTAGAGGTATTGCACTAACATTTTCTTAGTGACAGAAGTGATATGAGGGGTGCAACATGGATGAGTTGCTACCAACGTTCTTTCTAGAGGGAGCGTCCCATGAAAGGCAATAATGACCGACTTCATCTTTACGTAGAAACCAAAAAAAAGAAAAGAAAAGGAAAGCCTAATCGGAAAACGGGATTGGGACCGTTTGCCGAAAATCCGTGTCTCAAGCTCGTGTTAGTCCTGCAGTCTAGCGTGCACTCGTGCCATCTAGTGTACCCAAGCCAAAGTGATTACTTGACATTCCAACCACCAGTTCCCACCACTTCAAGTGGCGAAAATAGTCGTCCTTTGTGTTTTGGGAAGGATTTACTGGCCTACAGCTATCGTGCACGTATTAGGCTTCGCCCTGTCAGGACACAATATCAAGCGACATTCTACAAGGTAGACAGAGATATTGAAGTTCGCAAAATCGAGACGGAACATTTAATTTTTCCACTTATTTTCCACGGCGGGCTTTTTGTAGCATTCCCAGTATTTCTTCATTATAGGGAATCAGTAAAGCGGACCCTGCTCATAAACCTGGGAACTTTTTGAAAATAGTTCTTATCAGATTGTTGGAAAAGAAACGGTAGACTGAGATTGTAGGAAGAGAAACGTCGACCGCCACAAGTTTCAAGACTCATCTTGTATTTCAATCAAAGCCTCGACTCTTTTGTTTGTGCGATATTTGGTTTCTAACAGTGAAGTGATTTTGTGACGTATTCAGGTAGACGTACGAGCTGTCGTTCGAGTAATGCAGAAAGACGCCAAGAATGATGACAAGCCAGAGATTGTAGAAGAGAGTGAGCATTATCGTATCTTTTATTAAAGCAAATCAATAATTTCTCAAGAAATTCATCGAACCATATGAGCATGGGGCGGAGGTGGTGTAGTGGCAAGTGCCGCACTACATCACACGCACGGTCAGGAGTTCGAATCCCGGATCGATGCCCGCCTAGACCAACCAAGATTTCCATCCTTCCGGGGCCGGTGAATTGATACTAGACTCGTCTGGAAGGATAAAAGCACTGACTTGTATATCGGCTGGCCACCGCAAGTCATTGTATAGGCCACAGACGCACTCATTACGCCACTACGATTCTAAATGGAAGTCGAGTGCGGGGTCGCATCCCCCAGACGGGACTGATTTGCGCCAAAAACTTTATCCTTTATCCTTTATGAGTATGGAGGAGTGTAATTTTCAATAGATTTTCAATATTTCGATAAAAAAAAACAAAATCAGCCATTCAGCCAGCACATCTCAGCGCCACTTATAATCACTCTCTGTGAATTTCTTGAATTTCACCGGATGTCGAGGTGGAAAGGATTTCTGCTCAGACAATACCATATAATAATCACCTGCATCGCCTTTCGTTCCGTTGATTAAGGATTCCTTCGAGGGAAGGCCACTAAAGTCTCCATTACCCCCTGTCGCGAGCTAGACTAGTCCAGTGGATTGTCCTCGCGAAGGATACCCGAGGATAGCATTCTATATAAATTTATACCAAAGGCAACAAATAGACTTTGTAATGTAAACAATTGCCAACATGGATCTTAACTTGACTACTACTCACTACTTCTACTACTACTTTAGGAAAGACTATTTCTATGCAACGCGGCCGTGGGATGGAGGTTACTGGGAAGGATCGAACACCAATCTCGCAATTTCTACAGGTACATAAATCTATCTTGAAGAGTTACTGTTCAATGGAAATTCAATAGCTCCAAATGATCACTGCCGGGGATGTTTCCAGGACAACGTCGATAATGTGGTGAAAGTTTCGGTGCTAATCAAAATGGATGCCAAATTGTTCGATCCCTACACGTACCTCGACAAGGTCTGTTAAGAAAAAACCTTTCTGATGTTTCAATCGATAAAGTTATTTGAGGTTTCTCCAACGCCTCACAAATCCTTTCTTACAACCAACTACAATGCCAGAGTCAACAGTAAAGTATGGAGAAGGCGATCTAGAAAGTAAGTCAAACAGTGGAAAAAATTACGAAGTGTACAACAAAAACTTCTGACTGCCAGGAAGAATCGGCTATTATCCAGCTCAACCACTCCCTAATCTCGGGAAAAAACATGATTCATCTAAGTTCATCTTTTTTCGCCCTATTCCACCCTATTCTGATTTACTACGACCTATCACTCTGTGAACAGTCCCTTTACCAAGATCAAAAGCCGTTGCCTCACTGAACTAAACACTTTCCGGCTCGGTACCGGTACATGCGAGCTGTTGTGTTCCTTCGGTAAAACCTTCAGAGAAGACATCTGGTGGCTGCCTTCATCATCTAAAACGATCTTCCACCACAGAACAAGTATATCGCTAAGCGATATCCGTATTGTTATGGCACTCCTGGTTGTTTCCTATCCTCCTGGCCGCAATGAAGCATATTCAACGTGCTGCAGTTCAACAGAGTTCTCGAAATTGAATTCGCTCATGTTTACAACGCTTTTGACCATTTTCGGGAAAAATATAAAAACACAACGAGGTAAAAAAGTATACAAATGATCTAGACTTTCCACCAGAAAAATGGCGAAGGACGAAAATGGAAAAGTGAGTCGAAAAGAGAAAGTGGACTTTGAAAAGAAGTTTGCAGAAGTGATGGAACAGGAAAGGGAAAAGGTTGTTCACATTTTTTGGCTCGCTCACTTCTTTCTGCTTAATTTCTTCTTAATAGTTGTCAGTCGATGTGAATCGTCTACGGGTCGGTGAACCATCATCGCGGCGGGGGTCCACGCAAACTCTCCTCAGCCATCATCACTCACCCGATCATGAGCATCTCTTCAAGAAGGTAACACTTTTCTTCTTTTGCAGAGCTTTTCATTTTCTTTGTCTGGGTCCAACGGCTAGGTGCAGACTTGTTCCCAAAGAGAAATGTTACAGCCTAAAAGTGGTCTATTGCCCTATCTCAGTCGAAGAGTGTTTAAATTTTTAAAGGCACAGTTCACGATGAAAATGGTTTCTGATATTCCCGCACAGGAAGAATTTGAGGCCCTCGCGTATACCATATCCGGCGCTATCGAAAAACGGCCTAGTTAGGGCGGTATAAAGGCTCAAAGGTTGGCCCGTGTGTATCCTCAGACGAGTTTCACCGGCATTGTAGAGGCTGCACCGATCAAAAGGGAGCCCATGTAGAAAGTTCAAACAACTGTCGTGACCCATAGCGACAATAAAAGACAATTGTGTACAGTTCTGGTTTGAAGTAGTCAGCTCTTTGTACAATTGCAATAACTGAAATCTCGTCCGAATACCCCTTCCATGCTATTTCCGTCATGGAATCTCGTCCATCCTCTATTTTTCCTGATTTTGAGGAGCCATATTTTTCTCGAAATCATCGAATTCTCTCGCTTACTTCACTAGGGATGAACTAATCCCAATCTATACTTCCGCTTTTCGAATGAAAGCAGGTACCTCAAACTCATCGTGAACTGTGCCTTTAAAAACAATCTTGTAATCCTTTTCAAACGCTGGGTGTGGGGGAGGTGGTATAGTGGCAAATGCCGCGTCATCACACGATTGGTCCAGGGTTTGCGGGCCAATACTCATCTGTACCACTAAGCCTTTCGTCCCTCCGGGGTCATTTAATTTGTACCTGACTCGTTGAGGAGGATAAAAAAGCAATGTTTCATACATCAGCTGGAAAACGCTAGTGACCAAATCCTAGTACTATATCCGAATGGAAGTCGAAAGCGGGAGTGCATTCCAAATACGGGAAAGATTGACTAGAGACGTCAATTTTCGCATTTCTTTCATGGCATTCATAAAACTTTCTATGGTTTCTTGTCCCCAATATTCGTTTTGCTCTTGCTATGTGGAATGCTGTGATCCAGTGGTATTTTTCGTTCAGTTCTCTACTCTATAGCAGGCTATTTTTAGTTGTTGATCAGCTGCTGCGAATCTTGTGAACGGCGGAGAGCCTCGTTTGCCTATAGTAAGACGGAAGACGAAGCAGAAGACGGTGAGGTAAGAAAACTCGTAAGTTTCGAATAGTATATCGCCATCACTGATGTGAATTCAATTCCAGTCGAGGAATTTGACTATTCTGGAAAGGTGACCTTTTTACGCAAACTGAGCATCACGCCAGTTCATCACTTATGCCAAACCATAAATGGATTCTATTCGAGTATTCATAATTCTCAGAATTTCCAGGAGACTGAGACCAGTGAAGAAGAAGAGGAAAAGTGCTTTGAATGTCGTGACAGTGACAAGGAACATGTCCATGATGTGAGTCCAACTATCAGTCGCTATAGGGTCCTCCTCCCCCTCACCTACAGAAGGCCCTAGATCAACAGTATAATTGAAATGAAATGTTCGAACAAATTTTTTCCTTTCAAAAAAAGTATTTCTGTACCTTATCTGACCCTTCGCAGAAAAATTCTTGAGTGGGGATTTGATTAATTTCCAAAAAAAAAATTGAGTGTGGATTGGATTGATATTTTTTATGTTCGAACATACTAAACATACTAGACGTTGGGAACTCCATGTCTCTTTCTATTCTTAGGTAGAATAGCTTTTCAAAGTCGCGATCAACCTTTCGAGATGTGTCACGCACTCGAACTCTGCTCAGGACTGAATCATTTGAGTAGGGCTAAATAGTTATGTTACTTGTAGGGGGAGAAGGGTGTTAGGAACGATTTTGGGTAATCGATTCGCCGCGCGCGGCTATCGCGGACCACTCATTCGCCGTTATTACAGCTCTGGCGTTCTTCATACAGCTCAATCGATATGCGATCATTATTTTATGCATAATTCTACTANTAGTACTTTTGCTCTTGTATTTCTTACCTACTGCTGCATCCTGCTACAGTCCTTCGCGCGCGATGCTCCCTCTCACCGCGATGCGACCATTTCGTTCCTAATGCACCACACCCTCGATATGTAGGTGGGAATCACGGGAATCACCCCTCTCGCCAACTCATTTCTGTGCCGTCATTTACGACAGTTCCTACAAAACTTTCATCTTTCAGCTTCTTGCTAACATGTACTTCAACAAGATTGTCCTTCCTGGAATGGAGTACGTCGAAGACTTTGTCGATTTCCTCATTGACGCCGAACTGAACGATCTTCCGGTCCTCAAACGAGCATGCGAACGTTATTTGTGCGGCGAACTAAATACCGTAAGCTTCCTCTGTTGCCCTACGGTACTACTCCCATCTAGAGCTGTCATAGTAGCCTCGTGATGCTTTGCAGAAGAAGGACCTGCTCACTTCTCTGCTGCTCGATCTTCTGTTTATTTCAATCGTTTTCCAATTACCTGTCATGAAAAGCATGACATTATCCGAATTGTCCAACAGAACTGAGGAATTGTCTCAACCTGACAAGCTGATGGAAGACGACGAATACAAGTAAGATACCATTTTGTTTACTGAATTCACGACTGTCTCAGTCTACGTCAATGCTGCTCTAATCCTCCGCGCGGGTGACGTAGAACTTAGAGGAGTGCTTGTATCAGCTGATTAAGCAGGTCGTAGTTGCTGCTCGTTCTTAGCGTAATAGACCGGGGGTGCAACGAGAATCGCTTTTTGAGTTTACTTCAAATAAATGAGTGGCACATGCGATTGTAAAACCCTCTCCTTCCGCCACCCTAGCCACCCTCTCCCCAAAAAATGGCGAAGAAAACGCGAAAAATCGACATATTATAAGAAATATAAGGCTTCACAAATGTCGAAAAGATAGGGTTTGGACGAGAAAACGAGGAAAAAAGTGACATGGATGGAGGATTGGACGAGCTGTCTAGATGTGTGTGCTATTGCGTACAGCTGGCTACAGTAAGCCACCTGCATGCATGGTGGGCGTCCCGGTGCGAATTGAACGACCTCTGAAGCCTCTATAACACGCGAAAAATCTTGAAGGAACCCTCTAAAAACCACTTTAATCGTGAATTATGCTTTTAACCACCACCCACCTTTCGACCTCACTCCTTCTCCGGTTGGATCGAGAAGATTCTGTTCGTTTTCCTCATGAGATCTCTGATTTTCATTGATCACAAAAATTCATGAAAGCTATTCTTCATTAAGAAAAAGGTCTCAAACGAAAAGAGCGCTGAGTCTTCCGAAAATGAGACTTCAGCAGCTGATTAGTTAGTTGTACTTGACTTGAAATAAGTACGATTTCGCCTGAACGACAAAAAAAAATATTACGATTAATAGATAATAATTATTTATTCGATGATAAATAACAACTAGCAAATAACAACCTTTTAGAGTGTTGGATAAACGGGTCCGATCGTTGTCCGACCGTAATCTGGTGGAGTTGATAGAACAATGTGTCGCCTTTGCCGAACAACGGAACAGAGTGCAAGTGATTACACTCAGTGCATGACCAGAATTTGACCGAATTACGACGAGTATAAACCCATCCCCTATGCCTTCCTCATTTTACACGAATATGGACCCCCTTTTCTGGACAGCCCCAACATTGTGAAACGAGTGCATTCATTTCCTGTATATTCGACATCGCTTCTACGATGCACTGGTAGCCGCATAATAATTGCAATGTGCATGCCAATTGATAATCAGGATTCTCATTTTAGACAGTCACCTATTAATTTTTCATTATACAAACTTGTTTGTGTAATTTATAATCAGAACGATTAAAAAATTTATCAGTGAACTGTCAAACAGCGTAAAACGGACCAGGAATACCAAGCGAGATCTATACAGCAGACAAAGAGACAGCTCATTCAAAGAGATCAGACACATGTCAAGGGGATCACACTAGAAAATTCGAAGCGAAAGCAGTGATTGCTTGAAGACCAGCAGCAAACTGGGAGGAGAAGCTGAAACGAAGTGGAAAAGAGTGGTCGGTGACGAAGGCGAGGACCATGTCGGCGAAAGCTCGAGGATCATGCTCGATCTCACGACATCTAACGAGCCGAACAACTATTGCTGGGCACATCAGACGTGATTCTACCAGCGTTCGCACATGGCACAAGGTGATTTCGGTGGCTGACAGATCAAGCTGTTGAACACATCCCATACTCAACCACTCAATGAGCGAATCGAAATCTGTCACATGGCAACCGACCATTGATAATTCGCGAAGACTAGGCAGCCAGGTGGACTGAATTAATTTTTATTTACAAGTCTGATCACAGCCAATCTAGTTCTAACTGTTCATATTGACCACCTGTAGACAAAATGGTAAAGGTAAATACGTACCACAAACGAAAGACCGCTCAAATCACAACCATCCATTCGCAGACTAGTGAGATTATTGCATGATGATAACAAGGTTTCCACTGCGTTTCCTCGAACGAAGCTATTGAACGATACGTCCAGCAGTTGTAGATTTGGCAAGTCTGAAATAGTGAAAAAATAGAAAAATAAAATTGAAAAGAAGGGAAGAGAGAACTCAATGGCACAATCCAAATGAGGAGGTATATTTAAAGGGGGAAGGATGTAGGCAAAAAGATCTACCTATGAGCCATCACAACTTAACTACATTGGTATATCGATATGGTAGTGTAATTGATAAGAGCACGGGGCCCGGATAGCACAAGTGTGGGTTCGAGTCCCGTCCGATGACGACGTCTTATCCATAACTCGCCACCATGTGGGACTTTCCTATCGTGTACTGCGGCGAAATAACAGCAGCTAACAAAACCTCAAGTCAAAACAATTTCAGTTGCCTTGGTTATTCTACCAGTGCCACTAGGTCTCACCAGTGGGAACGTATTCACCGATTCAATAATCAGAGACAACACTTATTCTCTCAACAGTACGTCAATAAAAAGCAGGGGAGAACAAAAGGACCTAACCTCAAACTCTGCATTAGATGGAGGATTTTGCATTCTACAATCCTAAGACATCTTCTGATTGAATGTGATTTCAGGCAGAGAAACCCAGCTTCACCTCACAAAGCTAGCTCTTCGTTTTGAGCGACCCTTACATTGCTCGAATTTCAGTCCCTGCTGTTTTTATTGAGGCAACCAATAAGATCGATGAGCCCAATAAACCACAACGCGTCAATCCAGAGACGTTGTGAAGGCAATGGAATACACTAAAAATGCTCACCACATATAGCTGTGACGAGTGCTTCCTCATCAACAGCTATTTCCAAATCACTGATGCGAAGTTCTGATAGTTGAGGGCAGTTTGCTAGCAGTGAATGAGAAAGAGCCGAACCCGAAGTGAACTCGTTATGAGAGAGGTCTATTGACCGTAAAGAATGCGATCCCTGCAAATTTTGAAATGATTAATCCGATTTAAGAGATTAGTAGCCGGAAAAGAGAATTTTAACATACCCAGTCCAATGAAGTGAGGTGTTCATCAAAGAATCCAGCATACTTACAGCTGAATTGTTCAACATTGGGCAAGACTAATACTAGAGCGGATAGAATTGCACTAGTCAAATCTGTAAGAATAAATTGAAGACTCGTCATTTTTTGGTTACTGCCATACTCAAAAGGAAATATTAACTGACCGCATCCATCGAGCAGGAGACGGCTGACAGAACGTTTAGTGTTTGTGACAACCTTAAGGACGCTCTCAACTATATCACCGCCTTCTGAAGCGGCTGACGAAAGATCGAGTATGCCGGACGCATCAAACTTGGCCATACACTTCAGCACGACATCGTCATCACAAGGACTTTCTGTAAACTCGCCAAGAATCAGCATCCCACCGCTATAAGCTGTGCTTCACTCTAATCAGAAATTGATGTTGAAACCGCTGAATAAAGTTTTTCACAAAAGAAAATGTGATTAGCATTCATATTTAATAAACTACTGTAAATAAAGAAAGGCAAGAAGTAAAAGCCAAAAGCAAAGAGAAGGGCTCGCGTTGGCCGACCTAATGTTTTACTAACAAAACACGGTATCCGCCTTCAGTTCCGAAAGAGTGCTTTTGATGTATCACGGAGAAAAATGACCGGTATACTGGCAGAAAGCGCTGCCACTACAGCTGCACTGCCGTAACTTGAACTCGAAAAACCTAATAATTCGTAGAAAAGGATATTTGATAGAAAACTTGTCTGGGAACATAAAAACGCATCTACTCTAACCTTCTTATGAACTATATAAACAGAAACAGTAGCGCTCAAAAGTCTTCGGTGAAATGCTTGGACGCTTTTCCGTTCATAACTTTTTTCGTAGTAGACCAAATCGCGCAAAATTTGGTATGTTTAACTAGAGCATATTTCACCCTACCCAACACTATCTGACTGCGAAGCTGCAATATCCACTGATAGAGCAAGGTGTTTGTTGCAGTAGCAGATTTTGCTAAAAGTAAAGTTATTGTCGTCTGCACTTATTCTCATGTTATGTGCGTTTTTCTCATCTATTGTGTTCGGCATTACCGCCCGTACACTTTAGACATGACAAAAATGAAAGATATTCTGGAAGGGCCATCATATGTATTTTCAGTCGATTTTGAGTTCATGCTCTTTGAAATATCTGGAACATGATCAGATTGCAGGTTAATAGTAGTAAATATTCACAATACATCCACGCTTCAAATATAGAAATCTCGCATGATTAGATCCAGTAAGANTGTACTTGACTTGAAATAAGTACGATTTCGCCTGAACGCCTGAAGAACAAAAAAAATATTACGATTAATAGATAATAATTATTTNAAAAATGAAAGATATTCTGGAAGGGCCATCATATGTATTTTCAGTCGATTTTGAGTTCATGCTCTTTGAAATATCTGGAACATGATCAGATTGCAGGTTAATAGTAGTAAATATTCACAATACATCCACGCTTCAAATATAGAAATCTCGCATGATTAGATCCAGTAAGAAAGGAGTTACGACTGAAAAGTACGGTTGAAGAACCATTTTACCAAAGACTTTTGAGCGCTACTGTATCTCAGTATAAAGGTAACGCATGTCGCATACTGTTAACAAAACCGACTACGAGCATTAACTGCTTGCTTGAAAATCATGGTTTTTGATGAAGATAACCTTCCTAATCCTAATTTTTTTGATAAAAGAAAAGACTATTAGTAAGAGGCACTGATCCGAAGAAGCCTCACCTGTGCTGCTCTTATACAGCATTTCTGTCGTCAGCTTATGCAACCGACAAACAACTGTAAGCGGTTCGCCAAGAGATAGTAAAGGGATTTCAGGGTCTGCATCACGCCCATCAAAGAGTCTAACATCAAATGACTTCGATTTTTGGCTTGAAAGCTCAGTTCGGAATCGTTCTTCAATGGTTGCCATTGTCGCTGTTCTATAATGATGAGAACTCGATTTGATTAGAGATCTTCGAATTACATTTCCCCACTTTGGCTCATCCTTAATTATTTCAATTCCTCACTGATAGTTCCACAAAAAAACAGCAATTTTTAGCGAAGGCAAGATGAAAGAAAGAAGCTAGACAACCAACCTTGGAAGCGAGACAAGCTTGTCAGGTCGGAGCACTCCCCCATCCTCATTTTCGAATTTGAGAGTAACAACGATTGGAGGTCCAGTTGCTGACAGAGGCGCACTGCTGGCAGCCGGCAAGTCTACGCAAAACTGTGACGGGCTTTCCCTTCTGCTTGGGATAGAGTCTCGACTTGACCTAGACGTGAAGAAGGACAGTAATTTCTCCAATAAAAATGAGAATTCCTTAAACTCGATAATTCAGTGATCCGATCTAACAAGTTCGTCTGATAACACGATAAAGGAGCTGGTGCTTATTTATTTCAGAGTACTTGTGAGACAATCAGGATGGACTGGTAAGATCGCGAAGCTGTCCTTACGCTAAATCTTCGGTAATCGATAAATCAGCTATATCAACACCTATCCTGGCTCTCACAGTCGTAGCAAGACGAGAGATGCGTCAGAGTCTACACCCCATTCCACCCAGATTACTAGTACTACATTAGCACTAATCCAAGCAAAGACAATCCTACCGAAGCTGCTCTCCCCCGAGCTGCCTCTAGTTTCAGTTTTCTAAAACTGCAGCATTAGGGGGACTTAATCCTCTCTCTGACATTGTTGTGTCCTCTCAAAGCAGCGCACCCACTGCCCTCACCGTAATCTTTTTTTATCATCACTGATTGGATGTATCTCAGAATATACCTGCATTGCGACCTCCTGATTATACATTCTGGAGATGGGGATCTATCCTCGACAATTAAGGAAGTCTGAGAAGAAAAAGGATTTCTGGAAAAATGTACTGACTACAAATCACCAAAACGGTTGAAAGTTCTCTAAACTTACGAAGGCCGCTTAGCAGGTTCACCGGAAGCGGTAGGGGTGCGATTTTTCCTTTTTCTTCGCCTCTTCTCTTCGAGATCGTTTATGAGGAAATCATCTTTGATCGGTTCGGAAAAGGAAGATCTCTGAACATAGCAGATGTTCAAGTGAATTATGTTATCATGGACGCATCACGCACCTCAACCCTTCTCTCCTTCAACGGCGAAACTGCAGTCGACTGTGATGCTGGTAATGGAGAATAACTGGAAGTGGCTAACGAGTATCCTTCACTCTTTCTTCCCGTATCTTCACAGTCGCTTGGAAGATCTATGTCGTCTTCAAAATGAGGGCTGATGTAGGAGGACGCAAGATCATCATCTTCATTGAACAGAGTGGTTTCGTTGTGTGATCGAGAAGGTTTCACGTTCTTCTTCGACTGAGCGCCAAGCCCACCAATCACACGCTGCAAATTAGAACCAAGAAATTAACCAAAAAAAATAAAATTTTGGGGTACGCAGCCGTAATTTCCCATTTTTATTGAGGTAATATCTGTATAATTCTCACTGTAAGGAGTGTCTGTGCCATTCTTTCGGTCTGTTGCCTATCGTGTCTAGAGAGAGTTTTTGGGAGTGATTTAGGGATGGATTGGTAAAATTTGGAAATGATAGATCATGCATCGTGATGCACAGAGAACGAGTGAAATGAACAAATTCTTCCTATTGGTGCGGCTGAAATCCGGGCGACCACGGAAATGTAATTACTCATATTAATAAAGTCCTGAGGTCGAATTGCATAATGGTTATCAAAGTGCCCGCGAGTTCGATCTGTCACGTGAATGAAACATGTCCCAGGACATCATGCCATGAAAAAAACTCATAGCTTAGTTCAGAAAAGATTTAAAGGGAGTGGGAAAAAGAAAAAGTAGGGAGGACGAAGTATGCGACATGGCTTCCACTTTATCGTAAAGAATGAGCAGTAGAAGGAGCTATGAGAACGTTTGGAAAGAAAAGATGTTTGGAGTCGAAGTCCTATCAGACGTAATTTGGGCTCACTGTCCTTGATCTACGGCCGGTGCAGATTGCGCGATAACAGAGCCGGGATGTATCAGAAGCCGGGAAAAAGCAGCGCTCAAAAATGATTAATGAAGAGTTGGACAACGACTTTTGGGTTTTCTTTTCGTTTTTTTTACAGCTAAGGAAGTCGCGATAATGTAGATTTACCTTATAACTTTTCAAATCAATTGTTTCCTCTTCACTACGTGACTTGGGTTGAGAGGATTTCAACAGTGGCCTTGTACCGGTTGACTTTTGTCGTGACGGAGCACATCCACGAACGGGAAATGATACTGCAAGATCTACATAATATAGCTGTGAATTAAGGACCAAAGTCACGGTTGGGTACTCAGTTCCTTTCCAAACAAGCCTATCGTCGTCTATGGCGACGATCCCCATAACTATGTATATCGTCGTCTCACTGTCTGAGACGAATCTCTAGCTGAACCCACGCCCCTAAATTGTGCGGGGTCAAGCGGACCCGAGATAAGGGGTCCGCATTCCTCTTCCTTAAGTCGTCGAAGCAAGACGTAAGTTGCCTGCTTTATAAAGTATTACTTACCATTATTGTGTGCTGTTATAGCGGGAACGACCGCACTTAATATATTATTGTGTCATATTTACTCTGTTATCACCGGAGCCCTTATAAATAACCACTGAACCACCCGCACAAAGCCTACAATATTCCGCAGCAGAATAAAAAAAGCTGAACAAGGACTTACGTTTTCTCTGCTGTTCTTCCATAGATACAGCAATAGAAGTCAATTCCTTTATGTGGTTTTCATCTTCGCTTTCGCAGCTAACAAGGAAATTCCTGAAACTCGAAAATATGGCTTTGTAACCCACGCAGTTACGGCTCAGTATCATCCTTTATAATAATTACGGTTGTCTACTGTGTCCAGCTAATGGTAAGATTGGCCAGCTATGGAATAAAATATATCCCAAAACTCCACCAACCAATATTAACAATGCATTTGTAATACTCATCATAATCATAATAAAACAAAAACTCTGACTTTACTCATGAAAAGTGAGTATGGGTTCACCCCAAATGCCTCCGCAAAACAAAAAGGACATCAATTCAGTTCAGAATCTTCTGAAGACGCCTATATACAAGAGCATGAGATGCCAGATTGCAGCCCTTGAGCTGCCAAAAAATGATATTTACTTTCGTCTCTAACCTTTTTGATGAAGAAGAGAACTTTTGATTAATATTACTCGGTGAGCAGAACATTTTGATAGCGATTCTTTAGCAATGAGTGACTCGTACTGATTGTGGAATGGAGTTTCCAGTCATTTTCTATGAATCATCCTTGACCCTGCCTTCATTATGACCGAAATGCCAAGACGATTTGAGATCATGAGAAGCTGCCTACGCATTTCACCCTATACCCAAAAGAAAAAGAGGCAGTTTTAGCGATTCTGCACTCATATCGAATCTGAAAAGATGCTGCGATGAACGCCTCATCTTTGTTATGGAGTTGTCCTTAAAAAATCGGCCTTTCTCAGAAAGGTCCCTAAAGGTTTCTCAACATTGTTGAGCAAGTAATCGGAAAAAGAAGAGCAGGGAAGTACTCGACAAAAGTAAAGCCAACTGAGAATATACCACCGTTCAAAAAGTGATATCTGACGGAAAAAGTAAGTTTGAAAAAGTTTGAAAAAAAAGTGAACCTCAAGAAATCAACGGCTGTCCAACCATCGGCGTTCTTTTTCACGACAGAAGCTCCACATTTTAGCAAATCCTTTATGATGTCGGTAAAACCTTTGTCACAAGCTTCCATTAATGGAGTGATGCCGCCGCCAGTCTCAAATTCCAACAGAATAAGTACAGCAAAAAATCTAATCAGTCTCTAGAAATAGCGTAAATAAGTGAGTGTTTCTTCGACATTTTCATGAAGGTGGTGGGTGCGGTAAGGGTCTCTGAAGAATATACTCTGGAGACTAGTTAAAGCGATGATGGTGAGGTATAGGTCAAGATATGAAGGATAAAGCCTAAATAAGCTAGGAACTATGAGAGGCAGTCTATGCATTAGAATGGGCGGCGCCAAACTTCCACATTCGAGTTNAACCTAGAGATCAGAAAAAATTCATAAATAGATGAGATATTATATGAGTCGTGCTGAGCGTGAATGGAAACTGCCTGCTCACAGAAAGAAAAACTCACAATTTTGTTCGAAAATATTGTGGAGTACTAGGAAAAAAGAAAGAGACCAATAAAATAAAGAAAACCAAAAGATACTGGTAGAGTGTATATCTAGGTGGTAATGTTCGAATCTAAAAAGTCACAATCTGGTCACGCGAACCACTTTAGAATGATGTAATCTGACTGCACCTATTTGAGTGATCGTGCTTCGAACGACGACCTTCAATTCAAAAACGAAAAAAACGAACGTTTTTCGGGTAACTTTATATAAACTTGGCAGATCTAAAACTTACCGAGTTTTCGTCATCATTGAGCACTTCAGTGCTAACCGGATCAACCTTGGCACCAGCTTTGAGCAGCGCTCTCACGTTGTCTCGCATCCCAGCCGAAACTGCCTCACTTATCGGAGTCCACCCGCCATAATCACGTTTGTTCACATCGTAGCCCTGAAAAACTGTTCGCTGGGAGAAAACATCGGGATGAACCCTCATAGGGATAGTTCTTCACTTTCGTCATTATCTCTGAATCAGCAAATCATTTGCAAGGGTGGAAGAGTGGCAGTGCCAAGAAGTGAACTACTACCCGCTCGGTCTAGAGATCAGACAAAGACAAGGGAACCGCACAGGCCGACCAGCCCTTTTATCCACACTGAATTCTGCATAGGATGATTACCACAGGCCATTGTTTAGCCCACATAGGCGTTCAAACGCCGCTGCCATTCTTAATGAAAACGGTTACGTGAGCGCATCCCACAAAAAGATTGATTTGCGGCATAAAAAACCTTATCCTTCATACTATCACACGGCAAAACTCACCGCTGCGATGAGTTTGTCCACCATCGCTGTATCGTTACTTCGAGCAGCGATGTGGAGACGAGTTTCCCCGTGGGCGTTTTTTTCCTTGTCACGATCTTTCTCGATTTCTCGATCGCTGTTGCGCAAACGGGCCAATTCTAGAAAGGAATTTACAATTACTACAATTTAAATAATCACGACTACAAAAAGTATTTAGATTTCGCACCCATGCATTCTGCTAATATGGCTTTATCAGGCCTCGCTTCTACATCATCGCTAACATCCCCTGAATCGTCATCCTCACAGCTTTCCTCAACCTCCACTTCACTTCCGAATTGTTTTGCACACGCAAGGTATACAGAGGCATCTTCGTCTTTGTTTGTTAAAAGATACTGCCCCATGGCTTCGTAGATCGTTGCCTTAACGTTCAATGTAGTCTTTCCGTTGAGAAAAAAAGCGAAGGAATTCGAGGCAAGGTACCTTCAAAGATGGACATTCCTCAGGAATATCAGAATTAAGAATGTCAAACTCATTTTTAAGCGAGAGCATTGATATATTGTGACAGGAAGCTTTCGCCTTGAAAATCAGCGCCCGAGTTTCACAGAGCTGCAAAAGAAAATGTGGACATGAAAAGGTGGTGAAGTGCTCACGAAAGCACATACTTTGATTTCCGATCTCCCCAACTTCTTTTCAAAGAACAGTGCTTTTTCAAACCATTCCAAAGCATCGTCGGGATCCTCTAAATCCATAAAAGTTTGAGCAACTGAGATTGCAGCGTTGAACTTTTCCTTGTCTGTCACGCTATCTCTATAAGAAGAAAATGTTAGGTCGTCGGAACGTAACTGTGGGAAAATACGAAAAGTCCAGCTTTGTTCTGGAATGTTTCGACAAGTTCCCATGGAAGTGCTTCAAAGGACATTACCTGATTGTGTGCGGATAGCATAACCGGTTCCCCTTTCCTTGCTTATCAAGGCTTATAATGAGCGAACTCTTACTCCATATTCGATAAGTACTTATCATAGCTAGAATCCGACTGCTCCGTTACATAGGCCCATCGAAAACTCTGCCAAGTATTTGAGCGTGTCTTTGCATCGGCCTCATTCTGATGCTTCAAGGCCGGAAACAAGCATTTGATGGTAAACCCCGACTTAGTTAAGCGACCGCGTTAATGTGAAATCTCCGGATATGCTATACTTACACAGGTTTGCAGTGTCCTTCTACAGTTTTTCTAGCAAACGTGAATCTAGTTGAAGTGTAAAGTGAAAAGCGTAAACTTCTCCCAAGAAATTAAGATTAGGAATAATACTTACTGGAACATCATCTTATAGAATTTCAATGCGTGCTCGAATATTTCCTTTCTTTCGCCCCTGGAAACACAAAGGTCAGAAATCTGTAAAATGAGCGCAAAGAGAAGAGCCCACCCATACGAGCAGAAAGAATCTGCTATGAGCTCGTACATTCGACGTCGCTCTCTACGATCACAATCAGAACTTTTTGAACGGTCAAGGCGGTAGAAATACTTGTATACTGAAAAAAAATATCGGACTTGCTACATATCAAAAAGCAGAAAAGAAAGTCAATCTAGCAAGAACGTACAAAATATAACGCGAGCGTCAAGTAACTCAGCATCTTCTGCTGTTAGCGATGACCTGTGATGAAGTAGGCATTCGAACAAAGCGTTCTGTGCGTTCAGGAAGTCACCAACGTACATTAGCACCTGAGACACAATCGCTGTTTCTTAGCCCACTCAAAATCGGCAAACATGTTAAAGCACCTGAGCCAACTCCATAAGAGCGTAACCTTTTTTCTTCGTTGGAGCAAAATTCACCAGCCTTTGAGCATTGTTTACAGGGGATTCCCATGAAAAATCTATACGAGCAAGAAGAAGCTGGTATTCCAAATCCGCATCGTGAGCTCTCCTTGAGAAAAAACTGTTGATATACGTACGACATAGGAACTTATGACTTATTCAGATACAGTTTGTTTCTATCACATGAGCAACATTAGCATGCCTCGTAGGTACCCATAGGTAGGTAGGAAGCACTCATGAATAAACTGTTTTCAAAACTACACTAAGCTAAGCTGTAGAAAAATAACGGAAATAAAAGTGAAGAAATCAAACCTACTTCGCGTATGCGTACGCGGAATTCCAATACTTCTCAGCCTCACTCTTTCGATGTAAGTTGGCACAAAGTCCAGAACAGAGACGTTCCTGAAAAGCTGCTTCATTCACCAGACTAGAGATACCTTAAGGTTTCGGCAAACTCACCACTACTACCATTCCAAAAGAAAAGCCGCTTACATCCGCTTACTCAAGCCAAAATGCCATCTGTCTGATTACTATTATTACTGAGTAGTTTTGGTCACACTACTGTGCGGGTTGTATCCCCCTATGCTTCCCCATAGATACAGCTACTGAAACGTCATGAACAACTAAGGTCACAGCCCCGAAGAGAGATACAAAGTTTTTCTTGAGAAAATTTTCAAGCAAAGCGTTTATTGAGAGATTATGGCAACGTACCAGACCAGCTTTTCTCCTGGCAGAATCTCCTCCCACTCTCACAGCTTTTTTATCGGTGTCGATTCTGTGTCCAAACTTCTTAAGATAGTCTATGCTTTTCAAACCCCATGACAATGCCTGCAAAATTATTATTGAGGAAGCGTCGATACGGCGAAGGTGCTTCCTCCAATACCTCTTCAAGATCATTTGTGTTATGTGACTGCTGCATGTGTAATTTCTCGTATACCCATCCAGTAACATGCAATGAAAGTTGGATCTGTGAATGGCTGCCGCTCCGTTGTGCTGTTTGCCGAAAAAGCGACGCATGTTCCAACGCTTCTCTCCTATCACCTTGAAATAAAACAACAGTATTACAAAGTGTTACCATACTTCTTAATCTACGATATTGGCTTCTATAACGTTTCTAATGCGACTTTTTGATCATTCCTATATACAAAGAAGCAAGTCTCTGGGCGTTAATCAAGCCCGTCCGAGGGATGCGCTACCGCATTCGACTTCCATTCATAATTACAGTGGCTATGATTGCGTACGCGACCTTTACAATGACTTGCGATGGCCAGCCGTTGTACAACTTTGTATTTTCTACCTCCTAGATGAGCCTGGTACCAATTAACCGTGCCCGGAGGAATGGAGGGCTCGGTTGGTCTGGACAGATACCGAGCGGGATTCGAACCCGTGAACGTGCGTGTGTGTAGCGTGCCACTTGCCACCACACCACCTTCGCCCACTATTATACATAGGTCACACAAACTTTTTGACAAAAATACCAGTTCGTCAAGCATGCTCGATAGGAAAAAATCAACAAACAAACCTTCTTCAGCACAGATCTCAGACAAAGCCCGATGAGCAAAGGAGAGATCTAGATGGTTTCGGAGGTTGGTAGCAAGTTGAACAGCTTAAATAAAAACAATCAAATTCACAGTGGTCTTGCTTTTCTCTCATGATAGCAACACACCTCTTTTGTAACAATTACGAGCTGCCTCAAAATCGCCATCAATTCTGTATAGGTCACCCAGTTCGTTTACAAGATCCAGCTGCTTCGTTTCATCCGTAGTTCTCGAAATCTCCTTCCGCAACTCTAGAATAGAGAAATAATACCACTTATAACTAGCACTGATATGAAAGATGCTTTGTCCCACTAAATGGACTAACCTTCTTCTCTTCGTCTCTTCCTCATGGCCCTCCAAGGAGAAATCGCTCAGCTTCGGAGAGGAATGGTTTTAAACCGTTTAAACGTTACCGCCAGAATCAACTTAATCATGGGAAACTCGTCCATTTGTCTTCACGAGCCAGGGCGCGTTTGTGGCCAGTTTTTCCCCACATTACCAATTTCTTACCTTCAGTTACGTCTTACTAAGACTCTTATGTCGATACACCTAGAGACTTTTCATGTTCCTGTGAAGATAGGGATGGATGGTGCCCCACTAGGCCTCGTTTACGTCAAATGTCTTGTATCAGTATACGGTCTTGCCTAAGATTTCAAATTGAATCTGATTTAGTTGGTCAATCAAAATTTTGCAAATTTTTAAAATTGATGTTACACTAGGTTCGATATTTCGCTATTTTTTGGTGCTTTCACAGGAACACCTAAGTGTGACGTAGGGTTTTGCAGCCATCTAGTTCTTTATGGATTGGATGGCTTCATGTCGGGTCGTCCCCTGTGTAACAGAAAGCAATTTCAGAAGCTATCTAGACTATGCAAATCTGGATCGTCCGAGCGTAAGGCGAACTTCTGTGGATTTGAAGTTATGACGACCCGCTCCATTGTACGAGTTTGCAGAAGATTTGCATCTTCACGGTCTGCTGTAAAGCTTAACAGTAATGTGGTCAGTTTTCCATCATCTAGTTGTCAAGGCTTTAACATTTCTCGAACCTTACTTTCAGTTTGGTTCTCTTCATCGCTCTGACATTCCAGTTGAGCGACTTATTCGCCCAAAAAGTGTGGATTTTGATAGCGTGGCGCCAGCTCGAAAAGTAAAGGAACTAAGTGTGCCGGTGGCTCTTTCTAAAACGAAGCGTGAACAGCTTGAGAAGTTGCAGTCAAAGGAAGATCCACCCCCTGGCCACAAGTGCTTTATAGGTCGTTTATTTATTCCTTTCGCCTTTAGTTCTCAAGTAAGTAAGCCCTTCTTCTTTAGAGTGTTCTCGACCAGAGTTCAACCTCTTGGAGGCCAAGCCTGGTCTTCACACGCCGTTATGCAGTCAGTTTTGGGATAAATGTAAATATAAAGACAATTGGTTTGTTATAAGAAGAAAGACTAAGGTACCGGTTTGAATTCTTGAGGCTCCGTGTGCAGTTCAGTTTAGCACAATTTTAGGAGCCGCCTAGCCAATTTGTTCAGTGGGAGAACGCATGGGATCACTTCGTTCCCGATCGCCTTGATCCATCAGTAAGAGAGACTTTAGGGGATCTTAAGCTAAAAACTCCTACACAGATCCAGGTGGCTTGGATATTTTGACTATCCAATGACTATGTAGCCATGCCCCTGTCATTTTAGACGCAATGTCTGCAAGTTTTCCCTTCTCATTATCACCTGTTCATAGCGGCAGAGACTGGATCAGGGAAGACAATTGCCTATTTGGCTCCGCTCATCACTAGGCTGTTAAAGCAAAAGCGGAAAAGTGTGAAAGAAAAAGGTGCGTTTCGTAATCTGTCCAGTATTAATATAACATCATGAATTGTTCAGCTGTCATAACATCATCTGTTATAGCTGTCATTCTGGCCGTTACCTCATTGCTGAAGGAGCAAATATTTTCGGTCATATCGAAATTCGTTCCAAAAACGGGAATCGTTGTTTCAATGTGCGGTTCAGAAGTAAGGACCACAGTGAGTTGAAAATACATCCATTGAAGGTTTATTTCTTCAGGTGTCTTTTCACTTATGATATGCATTTTATGCTTCGTGGCTAGGAAAAAACCACCAGAAATTCTTTTCCGACTTCGAAAAGAATTTATGCCATTCATATTTGCCCTTAAGTATTTGTTTAAATGTGTTTCAACAGCATCCTCCCCTTCGCTCAGTTTTGTTCTGAGTCTGAGGACCGCAGAATAATTAAAACGCGGAGTCATGGAATATGTTGCAAGGTGTGAACACGAAACTTTTGAAAAACGACCGAATAACTCACAGGTACTGGGCTGAATTCAACCAATTCATTTTAGGAGATCAGATCCTCCGGGCTGCTTCAAGTCCTTCCCATCGCACATATTTACATGCGTTCTCATGTGTTTCACATGTCTTTTAATAAATAAATAAATAAATTTAGGAAGTGTTGTTAGTTGTTTCATACATCTGAAAATTGCAGGATGATTGGGATATTCTTGTAGGCACTCCAGGCCTAGTTCAAAGGTATTTCCAGAACAACAAAAACTGCAGTACTGATGTAAAGCATGTAAGTTCCTGAGATTCTATATCACTTCTGTTGTGATACATTGTGAGGACATTTCAGCTGGTCTTGGAGGAGGCAGATATGATTTTGGATGATAGTTTTACGGAAGTTTTGACTGAGATATTCGCTTTGGTACCTATAGCTCATTCCATCACGAATACTGGTGATGCGACTTCCGGTTTGGTTGTAAAGTAACTACTTTCTGGCTGCAGCTTTGTAGGGAAATGTCATTCTTCAGGTGCTCGAATCATTTTCTGCTCAGCGACGTGTGCAGAGGAAGTTGAAAGTTTGGCTGATGGTGTCGTTGATCGCCAGTTTCTTCGGTTTATTAAGAGTCCAAGGTTGCACTCTTTGCTGCCTAATATCGAGATGAAATTCATACGGTACGTCTTCCTTAGGTTGCATGTTCATTTATTTATTGGTTCATCACTGCGGAACAACAAGGCTCACGTGAGATAAGGACCAGCAAATGGCTATACTCAAGTAGAATGAGAAGCTTGGATAGCGAATACTTCAATCGTTACCGGAGCTGAATAATTTCCAGTGGAGTGCCCTGACATTTTACTGTATATCAGATTCAGTTAAAGTAATTTAGACAGCATTGTTCCTTAAGGGTGCTGCTAATGAATGGATTGAGGTTAGCATGAAACACAAGTTCATTTGAAAGCCTTTCAGGGTTCGAGAGAAAGACAAGATCGCTCGATTAACGGAACTACTAGCCGAGGATATGAAGCGGGGTAATTTGAACCAGACTATGGTATTCTGTAAGGTCTGTTCACAAAATCAGGGTTTAATCTTCAATGCAATCGTAATTCTTCTCTTCTGTAAGGGCTTGAATGCAGCATTCGTAATCCTTTTCTTTTGTCAGGATCGTGCCACAGCATTATATGTCCACCAACAGTTGCAGTCATTTGAATACAAGGTGCGCATGTGGAACTCACTTGATGATGCTGATGAGGAGGAAGGCGCAAGAGTTATCATTGCTACTGACGCAGCTTCCAGGTGAACTTGTCTAAGTGGTTTTATCAATCGATAACCGGGAAATATTTATATGGTCATCTTTTTGTACTTTCGCTAGTTGAACCTCGCACTTATAACTTGTTTTTCTTTTTTCTCTGAACATTGTTTTTCCAGAGGAATCGACCTTCCTCGCTTGAGTCACGTCATCAACTATGATCTGTCGTCACACAGCGTCGATTTCCTACACAGGTTTGATTAGCTGCCGCGATAGGCTATTGTCTTTTCCTAGCCCCTGACAAAGTACAATCAGCAAACTTTAGGGCAGGGCGTATTGGACGACTCAGTTCTTCATTCCTTGGTAGGGTTACATCATTTGTGCGGAGACCATATGAAGTTCGCCTCACAAACACAATAGAAGTAAGTAAAGTACAAAGTAAAATGCTACCAAAGTTGTCAGCCGTCAATTTCAGCTAGCAGCACGACTTGGTCGTCCGTTATCCGCTGTCAGCCCTGAAGTTTTCAGTGAGGCTTCTCGAGATGCGGAGACTACTGAGTGACACATTTTTACGCGAGGCCAAAAATAAAATAAAAATTTACTCTGTACACAAAAACATTAAGAATGATTAGTACATCCACGACAAGTAACGGCGACTCAGGAATTCACAGTTGCAGGCTCAAAGCTTTNTTTCTCGAGTTAAGCTCAACCCTAGCCCTCCCTCCCCAAAACGAAAGGAAACCAACCCAACAGACACCTATAATCAGGAAAAGCGACAGAAATGACAGAACTTTCGCTGGACAAATGATATGCTCGTTAAAAGTAGTTGGGAATTAATGGGATGAAAGGCATTCGATCACGACGTCCTTTGGTTAGCATCTAGCTGTTCTGAACAATGCAATACTGCCTCATTGGATAAGGAATGAGAGTACTAAGAAACTAATTCAGAATCTTCCGGAAGAAATTCGGTAATGGGCATTAGGTTGCGATGTATAATGTAAAGTTTTTTAGTGAAGCTCTTAGTTATTCAAAATAGCCCAAGCATCATCATCCCACGCTTTGTTCGCTGACTGAGTTTCAGTTTTTTTCGTAGTCGCCGCTGCAGCTGCCGGACGCCTGGGTTTGTTGAATGACGCTTCGAATTGAGTTATGGTTGAATCTGAAAAATGAACATTCTTTCATATCTAACATTTCCAAAGTCCCTACTCACCAGAAGGATCTTCTTCTTCCGGAGGAGAGGGTAGCGTTGCAGCAGCAGTTGTCGATGCCCTCGCTGATTTCTTTTTCTCACTCATATGTTTTTTCTTCTCGGTACCAGTTTCTAAAATAAATGGAGTTATTTAAATGGGCAGAGTGGTCAACTAGCTGTTGGTCTGATGAGAGCCTTGCTATTACCTCAAACAGGTGATGGCTAAAAAAAAGGAGCATCTCCTAGAGAGTAATAATAAAAGTGGCATCAAAAAGAATTGCAAAAAAATTTCAAAAAGGAGTTAGTATGATAAATGGGAAAAAAGGGACGGAAGACTACTCCTAATAGTAAGTGGTACTCAGCAGCATCGTAAAGGCCCCTTTTTAGCTTTGCTGTACATACCTGCATAATCAGGGCTCCCATGAAAATGAGATTTATACGGTTTTTTCTGTGTCACAACCGAAGGATCACTCTTCACGTCAATCTTGTGTATCTCCACCACTTCTTTGCGCGTTGCTATGTAAATCGGACGTAAAAGTTAACACATTGCAGCTTTTTATCGAAGTCTCAAAGTTTCAATTTTGCAGCCAGCTGCGGAGAATGTATTGGAAACGAGATGTGGCGTGGGGTGCAGTAGGTAGTTTTCTTCTGTATGAATTCGAAAATAAAATCGCATACATCAAAAAGTTGAAGGATTCGAGAATAAGTTTGTGAAATGTCAGGCAAAATATTCGCATCCGGAATGCATTGCAACGATTAAGAGTTTTGGTGGGGAGATGATTTAGCCCAAAGTGTTCTGTTCAAGTCCATTTATGCAATATCGGTACCAACGCAAGTAATAGGAGGGAGAACCCACGCTTAGTAGGTCAAGTGAATTCTTGAAAGCAGCATCTGATAAGGAGCTTGATTTGTAGATATAACACTAATTGCTACCTCCAAACAGCCGTCATTGTTGCAAATGATGGCTAGTTTGATGTAATGCACTTCAGAACTACGGGATCCGGTCTAACTTTTCCGAATTAACAAACGTGGTCTCAATAACGGCTTACGAGCTCAGTAAACTTTGAAAGAGACATACGAACGTCTTCAAGATGAAAATTGAAAACTACCTGCTAGAGAAAAGAATGCATCACCAGCTTGTCCTGACGGCTTCTCGAAACCGTTAAACCTGAATGAAATATTAATGAATTCGTATTGCTAGTACAAAATATTATAAACTGTGCGATTGCTCACCCGCCACTATCATAGTTTGCTTTGCCATTAAAAGAAGTGCTTGAAGATTGCTCAGTGGGTGACGTGGGTGACGCCATATCTTCGTAGCCTCTGAGATAAAAAATCATAGGTAATATACAACACTCGATACATTCAATTCCAACAGGACAGCGAATCACGTTTCACGACTCTTCACACGACTGTATCCCTACCGCCACAGGTTCTCCTACTCAACTGCTGGCTTATTTTTATTATGCTTTAAACAATTTTCCTATATCGCCATTGCACTTCAGCTGAGCAGAAGATCAGAGACAACGACTGTATCAGACAGCAACACAAGAAATACACCTACTTTCACAGTACTTGAAATGAAATTTTCAAAATTAAATGCCAATTCAACATTAGGCTTACTTTTTCGGGATGATGCTTCCAAGGCCTTGTAACGATGGAGACTTGACGAACTGAGATATACCTCCCCAAGACTTCTGTCCTATCTCCGTGGCTTTACTTGCAACTCCAGAAAGGAGACCACTATTTTGAGACTGAAATACGTTATATAGTAAAATGAAAAGCACTGCTTTCATCAATCCAGCATTTCTGAATTTCCTTAAGGTGGTCCTGAATTCAGCGAGCAGCCTAGGCAGTGGAAAAAGCCTATTTGACGATATGGCCATTAACACAGCCAAATCAAATGATGTACCAGTGCTAATTTTAAAAAAAGGTTGTTTAGAGGCACATTATGTATTAGGTTGATGCATAATTATTGCGGATTTTTTTGCGGCTTTCTTTTCTCGATAGAATGTGATTATTGAGTTCGGGTTTTTTCTAGAAATGATCTACTTGATTTTCTCTACAAGAATATACTCAAAAACTATCCGCCTGTTCGCGAAATTAGACTTAACTACTTCGAGAAAGATTGGAAGGTGGCACAGTTATTCCGCGATCTCAGCAACTTTTCGGCGATCGAACAATGAGCTAGAGCCAAACAAGAAATGCGATCTGCCTCTAAAACTGCCACATTCACCAGCAGAAACTTTTATGGATTGTCTCATCAACCGTTCATCGAAAAAAGGGCTAGAGAATAGAAGTTGCGTCGATTTAGATGACTTGATGGCCGATGTCAAGGCGTGGATCGCCTCCAAAGATCAAAACTTCTTCGCTTCTGGCATCCGACTAACTA